AGAGTTGTTGCTTTTTAGGAATGCCATTAAATCGCCTTTCTTATTCTTCTTTCACTGCCCGAGTCTATCAGTTACCGCCACCGTTAACTGCTGCTGCTACTAAAAGTATGACTACTGCTGCTGCTGCTGGTGGTGGTGCTGATGGAGGCGTTTGAGAAAGCAACCGGGTGGGGGAGGAGTAGTGAAACTGGGCTGTGGCCAGTCCTCTTATGCACAGCCTGCTTTTAGGTCCGCTAATATGGACGCAAGAAAGAAACGATGGCCCCTTCGAAAATGGAGCATGACTGTGGGTCGTCCAGGTTGGAAGTGGACGGACAGTCAGACAGGCAGGCAACTCCTTCTGCAGTAGATAACGTTGATTAGCGTTCTCACCTGGCGATATGACTTCTTGCAGTGTGAGGTTGCGGTGCTCGCCAGGTAGCATTGCTTGCCAGGAAAGTTGTCGCTGAAATTCCTCCCTGTCCTCTGAATGGATAAGCTCCATGACGCTTTGATGAAGAATGTCCGACTGAGGGGCGGGGGAGGAAGGGGGAAAGAAATGAGAACGATGTCATTCTTTAAATATAGGAGGCCGGTGCAAATGACTTCCGTTCCTTGCTGTTTTTATTTCTATGGTTGAAAAAACATGCTCAAGCGTATTTACACCTGATCACTTGTACTCAGGATGCGAATGTATAGCGCTCAATTTAAAGAAACATTTGAATAAATTCAGCACATGAACTTCTTCAATGGCCGTCGTTATAACTCCATTAAAGTAAAGGAAATGTTAACCGAAAAGCCGAAAAGTGTTTTCGATTAGGAAATATTACCTTGGTGGAGTTGTAAAATGGGCTATTTCACAACATACTCTTAAGACATTATAGCCCCTCCAGAACGCCAGTGTTTTAACCAGCTTCCTTCTGACCACCTTTAACATTACACTCTGTAAAAAGGACTTCTTCGGTAATATGCTTTTTATTTCACTGATTTACCACGGTCCTATAAAGTCAAATTTATTTTGTAGATAAGATGCATAAAGACATTCTTCCTTGTACTTGACATCTTCTTTAAAAGTTCTGCATGAAAAAACGTTTCTAATTATGATACATTTTAAAGCCTTGAAATGTCCATTCAAAAAGCCTCCCAGCCTTCCATTCATTCAGGTTGCCTGTCAAGTATACATGCAGGGCAAAATTTGAAGAGCCTTAAATTACCTCTTCTTAATAGCTTGTATAAATGTAATATTTTCTTTACACTGAAAAGCTACAGCTTGTATTTTGAAAACCCTGAATGCAGGTGTAACAACGGGTCGGTTTCACATTTTTTCGGGAATTTATAAACTGTTTTTTTTAATTGAAAAATGCCTTTTCTGTCATTATAAACTTTAAAGAACACTTACTTTGCTCTGAAATGAATATAAGGAGGAATTTATTTGTACTTTTTTTTACATGAAATACACCTGAATTCATAATGACAATGAAAATCAATGTAAAACGTGCATACTATTTAAGTAACCAGTTTTTCCTGATTGTGGCCCATGAAGGCAGCTGAAAAGTAGGTTGTTCGAACGTGATTGACGTGATTATAATATCTTATGCTTATACTAGAAATAATTACTATTACAACGCTAGTAAGGTAATCTTTTTTAATCAAAAACGCAGTTCAGAATTTTGGTTAACATTTAGTGAGCTAGCACATCATTTGAAAGGCTAGATTTCTGTCATCGCCTGCATAAACACAAGCGATCCTAACGCGTTGGAGACCATGTATGCGAGTAGCGTTAGAGCCCTTGTAGTTGAGAAGACGAATCCTACCCAATCAGCGGTCAGTCCCATTTAAGTAATCGTCCCTCAATAGAGTCGAGTGTTCTATCAGCTTAGGTCAGTTCTATTAACCCCCCTAGCACCATGGAAGAATTCGCTTAATCACCCAACAGAGCGCATTTTTTAACACAAACGACCCAGGTCCTGGACAGGGGGTGTACAACTCAATCTTCGTCAGCGAAATTAAAGTCTTCAAAGCACTCCACCGGCCTTCTGCGTGCATGCTCTTACTCTTCCAGAACTGTCTTGCTTCCCGTGTGGACTCATGTTGACAAGCGTGGCACCTGATGGTTGTTCACCTGTTTGGGATTTGTAAGTGGCAATGATAAATGCGAGAAGACGGGAGAGACGACGGAGTGCTGGCGCTAAACTGGAATGAACGACGCAGGGAGGGTGGGGGTTGTGAGAGGGGGACGGCGACTAGCACTGCATTGTGTGGCATTTAGCACTGTCATACCCCCCCAGAAGGGACAACGCCAGAAAATGTCCGCCAGCACGCCGCCGGGGTGTCTCACCCCCAGTCCCACCTTCCTTCGATGGGCCTTTAGCTTCAAGTACGCCACACGAAGGGGGCGGGGGAGTGGCTGAGGGCGA